GTCCCATGAAAATTTTGACGAGTAAATTATTACCTTGGGATATAGGAGCTGAAATTTTAGGGCAGTGATCCCTGCCCACGTACGACCTTGCAAATTCAAATGCAGCGTTCTCGCGCTTTCGGGTGACAGCTACGGCCCCGTGGAAATTTTGGTGGGGAAATTATTATCTCAGGAGCAATAAAAGCCAAGAAGCTGCAGTTTTGCAGTAGTACCGATGAGTGAGATTTTATGTGTCGGTGCATGAAATTTGTAACTGTTTTTCAACTATTTTTGCACAAACTAAAGTACAAAGCAGTGAAAACCATTAGCAGGCAATCGTTCGGTGAACGAATTACACAAAATGCATGATCGCACCGACTAGTCTGGCACGCATTGCTATTTATTGATGATTTTTTTGGGATGTTCTCACAGTCGGGCGTGACTACACCAGGGCCTTCGATTTTGTGCTGCATCCCTATAGTTAGTACCCATTGCCTGTTCGATATATTTGCTGCACCTCTTCGGCAGCATGTATTTATATACTTATTTATCTTGTAAGTGATCATAGTTTTATAAAACTGCAATTGCAGGAGAGTAAACAGACGACGGATTGTGATGTTTCGAAAATCAAGGTGAAATTTGAATAACTGCCCATCGCCGCACAATCCTTTCTCTTTCTGCTTTGATTTTCCTTCCACCCAGTTACTGTTATCCATAAAAAAGCGGTTGAATGGACTGTGTGCGCACAAGATGATCGCAAATGCTAAAAATTTATAGGTTGAATTCGACGCCCCGGCTCGTCCCAGCCTCCAGTACGACGGTGCACCGGCAAACCATAGCACTCCTCCGCACGATAGCACAATGAATCAATACGAAAATGTATGCGACCTTATCATCCAATAATACCACTCATTCGATTGTACGAGATAATTTTATTTACTTACTCGTTTTGAGTATTTTAAAACCCGATATTCGCAAGAAGAACGCATCATAGGTTTCGTGAAGAGAACACACCCAAAGACTGGCGTATACACATGTTTTTGTGTAATTTGGCCCAGGCTTCCATCACTTTTAAAGTATTTTTCCCATTTCCAGGACCGAGAAAAGCACTGAAACTTGAGATCAGGGCAGTTACGAAAATTCGGCCCAGCAGGGTTGGAGTTACAGTGTCTCTTTCGAATTCTGGGCCGGGGTAAAGATGGATGGAAAAGGGAAGGGCCGAATGCGCTAGTTTAATTCGCGGGAAGTCGTGATAAAGGGGGAGGAATTGAAGTACTGCCGTTAGAGGAGTTAGGACCCTGCTTGAACGTGGGAATTGGAGGCGGAACAGGGATTACGAGTTATATAATGCCAGAGCAAAAGAAAAATGCTAAAAGTAAGCTGGTAAGCTCGTGTCTGACGAAGATAAAAATCCAGCACTTATTTGCGACTGCGATGACTGTTATTTTCGTAGTTCTGCGCTAAATTTTTCCCAAGAAGGAGTATATTTTGCGCGCTCAAGCCGAGTTTTAGTAACTGCCAAAATCGACAGACAAGGTATTTTACGAAGCACAAAATATACTGGGATTGAAGATGCTGGAAACTATAAGATCAATCACTGCAGCATGAAAGAAAGCTTCTGTGTTTGAAATTTTTGAGAGTATTCCTCCAACTGTTCTCATTCTAGGCTTACGGTGTACCAATTTGCATTTTTAGGGTCTGGAATCAATTGAAATTGCGCAGCAAATCCCCGATTATGTTTCTGGAGAA